GATACACCTATCGTGGATAAACGAAGGCCCCGAATGCGCCGTTTATTCACAACCCACGTATAAATAACAACACCGATCAGCGGTCCTTCATCACGCTGTGTGTGCGCGCAGGGCGCTGGCTGGCAGCACTGCACAGGGCCCGACAGACAAGCAGGGTTTCAAATAGGACCGACCGATTTCAAAATACACTCGACCGATTTACTTGAAATTTTTACACATTAAAATAGACCCAGAAAGGTACGTATTCACAAGGTTTCAGACCCAACTCTCCAGTTTAACTTAATAAACCATTTTTTACAAAAAGACGATAAAAATCTGAACTTTCTAGTTCACTGGGAAATCCTTTGAATTTTTCCACGAAATTTGGACACAACATACAAAACATTAGTTTACTAACACTCACCAAAAATCACAGAAAAATACCAAGAATTCGATTTTTAATGATTTTTCAAAGTTTCTGCCTAGAATTTCAAATCGACATTTGACATAGCTACAGACCTCATTTCGGCTTGACATTTTTACACCACGTATAATACTATCAGAGAGTAATACAGTTCAATTTTCACAGCAATCGGAAAAGTATACAATTTATAATAATTTTTCAAAGATTCAGCAGCAATGCACGATTCAAAAATGCATAAGAGACCAATTATTCAACAAAAACGTCTAAGGCCTTCAACATGAGGCCAAGGACTTCAAATTTTCCAATAATCCACAGCCATATTCACGATTTAAGCATAATTCACATACGAACGCAAATAACGAACGTAATACGCAATTAATCGATCATAATTTAAACCCTAACATGCAATTCTCCTCAAGGCTTAATATGTATCATATACACACATAAAATAATGGGGTTTAGACAGTCTTGTACCGTTATCGGGGGATTAAAACGAAACAAGGGCCGAGAGGAGATCGAGAAGGGCCGACGTGATCGTACCGCACTGCAGCTACGCGTGGCGTGCGTGCGGGCCGACTTGCGCTTGGTTGCTGGTCGTTGGAGGGTCCGCGGATGACTGCTGGGCGTTGGGCAGCGATGGATCGCGCAAACGAAGAAGGCCTGGCTTGCGTGATGGCAGCGACGGGCGATCGTGCGATGGACGACAGCGGAGGGGCACGACGGGCGATCGGGGCGGCAAGCAGCGAAAGAAAAAAAAAGAAAAAGAGAGAGAGCGAGAGAG